CTCAGATGAAGAGCATTGTTGTTACTAACATTTGCCGACATTTTCACCTTGTAAAACTGTTTATGAAGGCTTCCAGCGCATCAGCACTGAAGCACTTTTGTTACTACTTGTTACTATTCTCCTTTCTTCATTTTCATTTTCAGTTCACAATTCTTCCTGCAACTTTGAGAAAACCCATGAAATACACCAAAATATGCTCTACCATTAAGTAGTAACCTTCATAAGATTTTCCTGATATGAAAATGTCACTGAACACAACAAAAGGGGTGAAGAGAGAAACCAGCCCTCTTTTGGACCTTCTTGCTCAGATTCAGGGTTTACACGAGCTGCAGGAAGTTGGCCTTTACAAATGAACTTGCATTTTTAAATTCATCAAGGTTTGAATCTCTTTGTTGTTGAGTGGTTATGCAGTCGTCCTCCAATGCAAGAGTTGGGGGTTCGAATCCACCAGCAGTCACATACCAAGTGTCCCTGGGCAAGACACTGAACCCCTCATAGCCTCTGATATGTGTCCCATCAGTGTATGAATGTGATAAAGCTCTGATTATTATTTGTAGAGATCTAGTAGAGTGCTGTATGAACGGGTAAATGAGGACACAGATTGTGTTGTAAAGCGATTTGAGTGTATGCACTGTTCTTAATCAAGAAGACCCTTTTAAGATACAATGCAGACATTAACTCTCCAAACTCCTTCTGTAAATCATCATCAGTTCATGATCCTTAATATTTTCTTGTGCAGATCTGCAATGCTGTTAGCTCATCTTTTCACTGAGACCTTTTCCCATCCAGTTTTGCATCCATAAAAATGAATAAAAATGGATCCATATGGGGGCCCTGTGATGGATAAAAATGGGTGAGAAAGTAAATACTCCACTGATTTCATGCATTGCTACATTCTCTGTCTGCTGTTTGCAAACACACTAAATTAAGGGGGTGGAGCCTTACACCTGTCAATCACTCAACCCTATAAATGCCACTGAACTCCTAGACTGTAAAGGTTAGCCTGTTTAAAAAGATTGTATTTTTCTTGGGAGTATTTGGTGCTGATGCTGTTCGGAAATCACTAAAATGTGAAGCAATCTGATTAAAAAATGTTTGACAATATTTTTTACATCTTTATTGTAAATGTTAGGGGAGGCTTAGTCATGCTGGCACATACCAGCTGTCCCTGTGCAAGATGGTGGTCTCCCTACATCATTTTGTGGGAGGAAGTCTCTGACTCACAGAACCCAAGATGCTTCCACATATGGAAGGAGTCAGTCGAGTTGGTTTGGGCATCAGGTAAGGATTTTTTTCTGGATGCCATTTGAGGAAGGTGTTTAACCCTAAAGAGAAGATCTCAAGCCAGACTCAGGTCTTAGAAAGCTTAGATCTTTCAAGGGGTCTAGGAATATTTTGGAGTCCCTCCAGATCAGCTAAAAAAGGTAGCTGAGGAGAGGCAGGTCTGGGTTGTTATATTTAAGCTGCTGTCTCTGAAATTCAGTCTTGAAGGAAATTGTTGGAAATAATTTTGTTTTCAAATCCCACCACAACTTTTTAAAGGAACACATGTTATAACTGTCTTCATCTCCATCATGCCAGTCTTTTCTTGATATCAGAACTCATCACCTGTCAGATTCTTCTCCTACATTTAGTGATTCAAAGCGCTACACATGTCACTGATTTAAAAAATAGTTGTCCTAAATACAAAAAACAACCCATCTATAAAAAAAAAAACATAACATTTATTCAAATGAAATGCCAACAATTAAAAATAAGGGAAAAATAGTGCTAATTGATGTTTTAGCACCTGGTTTAAACAAATGGACAGCTTTAGCTGAGCCTGGATATTCAGGAAGCTTTGTTCCACACATGGGAAGCATAAAAGCTTAAAGCTGCTGCAGATGAAAGCACACTTCAGATAACCTGAGGGGTATTTAGCTAGTAAGACTCAAATAAATCAGACACTGGTCACATCTGGCGTTGATCTGGCCGTCACATTGTTTCAGTTCAATGCCAAGTGTACAAAATCACACAACACATTCCACCAAGGCCTTAAGTTATTAAACAAAAACAAAATATCTGTGTGTGAAAAATGTTTTTATTCCAGTCCAGCTTCGTTTCCTATGGAATCTGTTGTGTTTCTGAATACATTTAGAACATTGCAGAACATTTAGACTAGATCATTTTTATTTTGTCCTGATATGTAAAAACTAGAACTGAAAAGTGTGTACTTTCT